AAGATGTTCCTTAAGTCGTACAGAGGGTGGCGCGGCAAAGGGCCTTGTGCAGTGTGTTCAGATTGCAGCTGGGGTGGCCCTGTGTCTTCAGAGCCCAGCCTTGACGTTCTGGTGAAGCACTTTCACGTCAGTCTTTCCGATAGCACTAAGCGCCATTCAGTTTCTGAACGAGATTCCACGTCCCCAGTCATAACTCAAAAGCTTTTAGGACCTGTTCAGGGATCACGTGAGGTCTCGCCAGTTTCATGGGTCCTCTTCAGAGGACCCGGAAAGTTCTGAGTCCACCGTCCAGGGTCACTTAGCGCTTTGCCACAGGGGCTGCTGGAGAGTGGAGGCTGCCTCTGTGTGTGGTGGTTGAGGTAAACTGGGATGAGACACAGACACGCTGCCCCTCAGAGGTCTGCAGGCTCCGCTTCACAGGCTGCTGACTCCCCGAGTCTAAGGCTTCAGGGCCAGGACCTGCGTCCGGCCTGCGAGGTAGAACGAGGTTGCCTCTCCCGCCAGGCACTGGGCTCCCATTTAGAAACGGTGTTCACTTCCGAAGGTACTTTTCACTGCTCGGTTTTTGACTATTTTAAATAGTTTGCTGAAAACTCCTGCTAACGCTACATATCATGTTTTAATTGCTTGTACAGTTAACCTTTAATTTTATTTAGTAAAGTGTATGGAAGTAGGACTTTTTTGAATTGTAAATATGTGGTTTTATTAAATAAAAGCCAATGTAAAGTTGTTACTCACGTTCACCGTCGTTTGTTTAAAGTCGAGGTTCTCAGTTTGCACATCCCGCTGTTTGAGTGTCTTCAGCTCCACTTACAGGCTGGTTAACAACAGATGGTACAGAGGCAGTGGAGTGAAGGGACTGGAGAGCTGAGCGTGCCGCTTGCAGGTTGGGGGAGCCGCACCTTACACCCCATCTCGAGCCAGCCCCCAGCCCCCTCTCCTGGGCCTGCCACACCCTTCCTGGCATGCAGCTGGTACTTACTCTGTGCCAGCCACAGGACCAGGGCTCTCCATGTTCCCTTCAGAACCTTCTCAGGGCACTGAGGTCCATCTCCCCAGCGGGCAGTGGGGTGGCATGAGGCAGGGGTCAGTGATGAGGTCTCAGGTGGGCATGGCATACAGTGGAAGGCTCTGTGAAGCCACTGAGGACTGGGCAGCGCTGGGCCGCGGCGTGGGTGGGTATTGCTCTGCTTCCGGAGGCAGGAGGCTCCTGGCTGGCAGGGCAGAGCCTGGGCAGCTGTCTCTTCTGGTTCCTTGTTCCTGGGAGAATCCTTGGGTGTGCGACAGCACTCTCCCCTGAGCAGACACAGCTGCCCCTCTGCGGGCCTCTGTCTCAGTGCCTGCTCTCCTCTCTGGGCCGCTACTATGTCCTCTGTGCTCTCTGCAGGCTGTGGTGAGAGGATGGCCATAGGCGTGATGGTGGCAGCAGTCACAGCCATGCCAGGCGCTGGGCCAAGTGCTGCCTGAGTCATCAACTATCTCCACAGCTGCTGTGCGGGAGAGAGGGCCACGGCCCCATTTCAAAGATGAGATGCAGGAAAGTCAGAGCTGGATTTCAGACTCCTGAGCCCTTGTCAGAAACACCCTCCAGGGGAGAGGGCCTTTGGGAGCCTTGGTCTTGTAGGGCTGACCTCAACTCCAAGTGCAGGGTCTGCGGCGGGAGGGGGTTGCTGGACTCATTCATTTGAGCGCCTCCTGTGTGCAGACACCATCTGCAGAGGAAGAGATGGTGCCAGCAGGGCTCACAGGCCAGGCATGGGCTGTGATGGCAGAGGTGCCTCGTGTGTGCAAACAGGACGGGGCCGGAGTGCTTTCCTGAGTGCTGCAGCCCAGGGGAAAGCGGCTGATAGTTGGAAGAACCAGCCCCGAGATGTGGAGGCTGCCAGGCAGGAGGGCTCAAAGAGAACGGAATGCTGCCCCCGTGCGGTGTGGAGAGGCAGTGTGGACCTCAAGACCAGCTGTGGGTCACCAGGGAGCCAAGGGAAGGACCTGGCTAGCAGAGGGAAGCCTCAGGGCCGAGGGTCAGTCCTCAGGTGGATCCGTGACAGGACGCGGAGGGGCTTGTAGGGTTCCCAGGGAAACCAGTGGGTCTGCTTTGTGTGGTACAAATGTGCTCAAATATTTGCTAATGAGACTCAGGCCCTTGCCTGCCTGCCCAGGAACCTGGCCGGGAACAAGAATGGCCAGATAGGTCTTGCAGGCCCAGAGCACTGGCCTGCCCACACAGGCTCCTGTGAACACTGCCTGCAGCCAGCCTGCTCTGGCTGCACTGGGCAGGGTCACACCAAGGCCCCGTCTCCCCAGACTCACTGCCAAAGCTCCATTTTCCAGGGTGCCTGAGCTGCCCGGGGTTCTGTGTGGAATGAGGCGAATCACCTTCTCCCCAGGAATTACGACAGGATGAGTTACTCTGGACTCGAAGCATGACTCTGGACTCCAGAACCTCACAGTTTATCCTCAAACATTGTTCCTCCAGCTTCTTGCCCTGCTCTGGAACTGCCGGGAGAAACTGCTCCGGCCAAAAATAAACCCAGTGTAAGGTGCCAGAGGTGAAGAACAGGACCCCGGGGGCCAAGTCTTGTAGCCAACCGTTGCCATTTAGGGACTCTGTGACCTTGGGGAATTTTCTTGAATTTCCCTAAACCTCGTTTTTCTTTTCTGTTACCAAAGGTTAAAAAGGATACCCGGCCCGGCCAGGCGCTGTGGTTCACGCCTGTAATCCCAGCACTTTGGGAGGCCGAGGCGGGCAGATCACGAGGTCAACAGATCAAGACCATCCTGGCCAACATGGTGAAACCTCGTCTCTACTAAAAATACAAAAATTAGCCGGGCATGGTGGCGCGTGCCTGTAATCCCAGCTACTCAGGAGGCTGAGGCAGGAGAATTGCTTGAACCCAGGAGGTGGAGGTTGCAGTGAGCTGAGATGGCGCCATTGCACTCCAGCCTGGCAACAGAGCAAGACTCCGTCTCAAAAATAAATAAATAAATAAAAGGGTATCTAACCCTTGTCCACTGGCTTGGGAAGATAAAATAAAAATAAGCTGAACTACTAATTACATTTACAAAAAACACCCACAGAAACGTTGCCGTGGGTAAACCGTCAGCATCTCATACTCTTGAACCTAAGAATGTTTTTTAAATTTGGAATTTTCCTCCTAAACTAAGTACGTTTATTATATAAAGTTTGGAAATTCAGAAAAACATGTCTTCATGTTGTTTTTAATTTTACCACCTAGAGAAAACATAGTTTTTAAATTCTGATTTTTCCTATAAATAAAATTTTCCCATTTTACGAGTGCATTTAGGCTTAGAAAGCTGAAGTATGTGGTCCCAGGTCACAGCTGAAGAAAGCTGAATCCAGCTCAGCCTGATTCCAAGGTCTTAGGAACATGCCATGTCTGCTCCTAGATAGACCCTCGTATTCACCCTTGGCATTCTGTGGGTGAAATGTTAGAAGACATCATCCATTTAAAAATTAGGGAGGGTGTAATTTTATTGAGATACATACATATTTAGCTAGGTGCGGTGGTTCATGCCTGTAATCCCAGCACTTTGGGAGGCTGAGGTGGGTGAATCACCTGAGGTCAGGAGTTCGAGACCATCCTGGCCAACATGGCAAAACCCTGTCACAGTCTACTAAACATAAAAAATTAGCCAGGCATGATGGTGGGTGCCTGTAATCCTAGCTACTTGGGAGGCTGAGGCAGGAGAATTGCTGGAACCCAGGAGGTGGAGATTGCAGTGAGCTGAGATCACACCACTGTGCTCCAGGCTGGGCAATAGAGCAAGACTCCGTCTCAAAAAAAAATTATGAAATTAAAATATGTACAATTTAATAATTGGTGATTTAAAACTGGACAGTCCTTTGGGGGAATGTTGGTTGGGAGGAGGAGGTATGCAGTCAGCTGAAATGCTGTCCTCAGCAATTCCCATTCATAGCATTTGCATGATTCCTCACTCTGACAGTAAGACTACCTGAAAGCTCAAAGCACAAAAAGCACCAAACTGGGTCCATTAGCTCTGATATTTTATGGACAGGCACCCCGTGCCAGTGGAGAAAAGATCTAAATTAAAACTACACATGAACTTAGAAAAGAAAGCATGTATTTCTACTTAAATTTTAAATCTCTGCTGGGCGTGGTGGCTCACGCCTGTCATCCAGCACTTTGGGAGGCTGAGACAGGCAGATCACCTGAAGTTGAGAGTTCAAGACCAGCCTGACCAACATAGAGAAACCCTGTCTCTACTAAAAATACAAAATTAGCCAGGTGTGGTGGCACGCGCCTGTAGTCCCAGTCACTCGGGAGGCTGAGGCAGGAAAATCGCTTAAACCCAGGAGGCGGAGGTTGTAGTGAGCCGAGACAGTGCCATTGCACTCCAGCCTGGGTAATAAGAGCGAAACTCCGTCTAAAAAAAAAAAAATTAAATCTCAAATGTGTTAAGTCAGCAAAAATGATTTTCATTTACCGATAAAGAAGTGTTTCCTTTTCAGGTGCCTTGGGCTCTCGAGTCAGGTGTCTGGTTTACTCTCGCTACTGTCGCTAAAATCAGAAAGCTTCCTGTAATCTAACACTGGAGGGGACAGACCTCAGTGTCTCAGTTTTGATTCATACCTATTTTTTCAAAAAGGGTCTAATTTTATATAACATCTCACTCAAAATGTATTCAGTGCCAACATTTTCTGGGTCCTGTACTTTTTGACAAGGAGATGACAGCCTTTAAAAAAATGGTGTCCTCGAGGTTTCTAGCCCAGCTGCTGCATGTGGAGCAGCTGCATTCCCTGCTGGAACGGACACTGCTTTACCTGCAGTGCCTGCCTACTTTGACTGCAAGTCTGCCATTCTGCTGTTTTCCCTAACTCGTTCTAGGTCTTGAGACATTCTCTCTCTGCCTAGGATTATTTTGGAATCCAACACAGGACTTACCAGTGCCTGACACATGATAGGCATTCAAGTAATACTTATTTTTGGAAAATGAATGAGATGTGCATTTTATCAACGTGTTAATCCAACATATTTATAGAGTACCATTCAGATGCCAGGCCCTGTGCTGGCCACTAGGGAGGGTGACGAACCAACAGTCTTTGCCTTCCTGGGACTTTGTCTCAAAGGAACAGGTACCTAAGTTCACCATCGCTAAGCAGGAGATCAAAGGCTGAGTTGCGCTGCACACAGGCTTCTGTGGAGGCACTAACAGCTCTTCAGTGAGGCCCTGGGGACAGACAATGCGTCAGGGTCTGTAGAATTCTTCAGAAGCCATCTATCAATTTATGAGTGTGTTGCTGTTTCATGAGTAAGCGCTCTCCTATCATTGGAAAGAACTGTGGTAGGAGATAATTAACAGAAGATTATCTACTAGTTAATTGTAACGTCTCCAGCATAAGGTACTATAATTTGAGAGAACACTGGTAACTCACTGTACAGTCACTTAAGACAGGTTTGCTCTGCAGCTTAAAGCAATGCCAGACTCGGCAAACTCCTTTGTATCTTTGTGCTCTGAGATCTGCTTGCTACTGGGCTTGAGGCTGGGGAGGGAGGGTTTGCTGGGATCTAGCTAATCGCTGGTGTGTCAACACCAGCTGAAAACACCCATTCTCCCTGTAGTGAATCAAAGGGATAAAGGACTCCGTTATCATGAAAGTCACATGGTTGGTCAGGTGTCGGAGCATCACTGCCAGGTCCACTCGAGGCCTCCCCAGCTACAGAAGAACCCAGTGGGCCTGTCCTGCTTCTAATCTGAGGCACACAGGAAGTTCTATTTGCCAGTGATTTGCTTTGCTATAAAGCGTAGAGGAGGCCGGGCGCGGTGGATCAAGCCTGTAATCCCAGCACTTTGGGAGGCCGAGGCGGGTGGATCACGAGGTCAACAGATCGAGACCATCCTGGTCAACATGGTGAAACCCCGTCTCTACTAAAAATTACAAAAAATTAGCTGGGCATGGTGGCGCGTGCCTGTAATCCCAGCTACTCAGGAGGCTGAGGCGGGAGAATTGCCTGAACCCAGGAGGCGGAGGTTGCGGTGAGCCGAGATTGCGCCATTGCACTCCAGCCTGGGTAACAAGAGCGAAACTCCGTCTCAAAAAAAAAAGCGTAGAGGAAAGACTAAAATGGTGGTGAGTGAGTGGCTGAGAATGGAAGCCAGAAGTCAAGGCTTTTAGAGACAGGGTCTCACTGTGTTGCCCAGTCTGGAGTGCAGTGGCATGATCACTGTTCACAGCAGCCTCCACAGCCGCCCCCGGCCTCAATTGATCCTCCCACCTGGGAGGGACCGCAGGTGTGTGCCACCACATCCGGCTCATCTTTTTGTATTATTATAGAGATGGGGTTTTGAGGTGTTTCTCAGGCTGGTTTCAAACTCCTGGGCTCAAGTAGTCTCCCTGCCTCAACCTTCTTAAGTGTTGGAGTTACAGGTGTGAGCCACTGCAACCGGCCCAAGCTTTTCTACTTAACTAAAGTATATTCAAGCCATGAAAGGTAGAAAGGGAATTTTAATCAAACTTCACTGGCTTCCAAGGGAGCATACTTTAGAAACGAAACCATGGCAGGTGCGATGGCTCACCTCTGAACTTGTGATCAGCAGCAGGGTCACGAGGTCAGGAGTTTGAGACCAGCCTGGCCAATACGGTGAAACCCTGTCTCTACTAAAAAATACAAAAAACTAGGCGGGCGTAGTGGTGCACGCCTATAGTCCTAGCTACTCGGGAGGCTGGGGTAGGAGAATTGCTTGACCCTGGGAGGCGGAGGTTGTAGTGAGCCGAGATCATACCACTGCACTCCAGCATGGGCAACAGAGTGAGATTCCATCTCAAAAAAAAAAACCCAAAACCAAACAAAATCATGGCATCCAAAGATAAAGCTCACGACTGAGTCCCCTGCCCAGAGCTGGGTTCCCACCATTCTTCAGAGGTATCCAGCACCAAAAACACTGTCACATGTTTTATGAATCACTTAAGTTTAGGAGTGGGAGACAAAATTTAACCCCAAGGCCACACATCTCAAAATTCAATCTAGGATTAAGAAGAAATGAAAACAAGCCCTTAGCTTCAAGATAATCACTGATACTACATTAAGGAAATAGAGTATCGGGTATTTTTAACACGAACACAAGGAGTAAGAGGCACTTTACCATTTGCTGCTCAGTGAACTCGTGCACAACAATGCCCTGTTGAGATCTTAAAGCGTCCAGCTGATGCAGAAGGCTCTCTTCTAGGATGCCAGCAGCCTCTGTGCCATGTTATTTTGCACCTTGCAAAGCATGCAATACAACTGTCATTTTGTTTTTGCTAGATAATAAAATTTCATTTTTTGGTACAAATCAATGCATTTCTTCAGAGGATCCAAAAACATGTTTCATTAGAAACTGAAGACTGTCAGGCCGGGCATGCTGGCTCACGCCTGTAATCCCAGCACTTTGAGAAGCTGAGGGAGGTGGATTGCTTGAGGCCAGGAGAACGAGACCAGCCTGACCAACCTCATCTCTATTAAAAATACAAAAATTAGTTGGGCATGGTGTGGCTCATGCCTGTAGTCCAAACTACTTGGGAGGCTGAGGTAGAATTGCTTGAACTGGGACCCCGGAGGCAGAGGTGGCAGTGAGCTGAGATTGTGCCATTGCACTGCAGCCTGGACTACAAAGCAAGACTCTATTAAAAAAAAAAAAAAAAGATTAAGGGAATTAATGAGCTTCTAACTGAAACAGTGATGTGGGATTACACAGTTTAATAAATCCACAGAATTTAATAATTAGCACAGGATTTTTTTGTACCTTGCCCATTCACTGAACTTTTAAACCCTCCTACACATGAAAGAGGAACAGTACTCCTTACTCTTAGTATTAAGTCATTGAAATGGAATTGCTCAGACTTAAGACTTTCAACAGGTTTTCATGAGAAGTTAGTTACATTAAGTCACACTTTGCTTTTCTGGACCTGTTTTGCTCGATCCCAAATAAAACTAACTGAATTTTAGGCTCAGCACTAATTTGGAAGCTGAAACATTTCGAGATAAATACAAAATGCAGTTCCATCCCAAATATCACAGCCCTTTTTAAGAATGGCATCAAAGGTAAAAAAAAAAAAAAAATAATAAGGTCGGACAAGCACATCCTGAGGACTTGTACTCCTCTCGTCGATATGGTCAAGAGGGGAGAAAGGCTCTGGCCTCCGTGATCTTCTGCCTCACGCCTCTGCAGGACAAAGTGAGCCCGGCGTGGTGGCGCTTCAGGGATTCCAGGCGCCCGCTGAGCAGTTCGGTCTTGTCCACCTTTTCTTCCAAGTCCCGAAGGAGTGACTCCTTGCCTAGAAGCCCGCACCTCTGGTTCAGCCTGATGTTGTCCGCCCGCAGCCCCTCGCGGGCTTGCTTTGTCTTGGTCAGGATGTCTCTTCTGAGGGCGACCTGGGCCTCGATTTCTGCCAGCTGTGTCTTTTTGCATGCGTTCTCCATGTCCATGAAGTGAAGCTTTTCCTTCACGTGGGTTATTACTTGCACACTGTTGGTCACCTTGTTGCGAAGTTTTAAAAGTTCCTCATTTCGTTCCTCAATTTTCTCATTGAAGGTCTGGTTCTCAATCTTCAGCTGTTCAAAGTCAATGAGGAGCAGACCCTCGGTCAGGGCCTCCTGGGTCCTCATCATGGTTTCCAAATGCACCAGGCTCTGCTTCAGCTGCACGTTTTCTAGCCGCACGGCGCTCATCTCCTTCTCCTTTCTATCTTCCAACGCCTGGATCTGCTCCACCTCTCGCAGAGCAGCCTGGCGCCCGCCCCTCATCCGACAGCTGCCCATGGCCTGCATCACCACCTGCTTCTTGAGTGCCTGGAAGCGTCGCCACTCCCTCTCCACCCTGGTGAGCTTTTCCTGGCACTGCCGCTTCAGCTGGCCCAGCTTCTGGTGGTACCACTGCTGGTCGTCTGCCTGCTCCTTCTTCAGCTGCTCCAGCATGTCCAGATGGCGCAGGTACGCTTGCTCTTTCTCGGGGGCCTCGGCCTCTGCGCCCTGGTCAGGCACCTCAGCGGCCTCCAGGCCCTTCTTCTTGCGCAGCGCCTCGAAGATCTTGTGCTGCAAGTACAGGTTGTAGCGCTGGGAGCGATTCCGCTCCACTAGCAGGGAACGGTACTGGTCCAGGAGGTCGCTGCGCAGCTGCTGCTCCTGCAGCCTCTGGACCTCCTCGGACCACTCCAGGTCCTCAAGCTCGTCCCTTCCACCGAGGCGCTTCCCCTCTTCCTGGCTCTTGGCCGGGCGTCTTTCCCCACCCCTCCCCTCGCTCTCTGCGCCGTCTCTCTGCGTCTCCTCCTCCTCCTCCACCTGCTCTGTCTCAGCCTCCGGGGCTGCAGCAGCCTCTTCCAAGCCGGTCCTGGGCACCGGCAGGGAGGTCTGGGACGGGGCTTCCTTCCCCTCCGCCGCCTGCTCCAGCTCCTCCTCCGCCCCCGCCTCCGCCTCCGCCTCTAGTTCCAGGGGCCCGGCTCCGGGCTCCGGCTGGACTGGCTCCTCAGCCCTGGCCTCGGGCGGCTCTTCGGGCTCGGGCGCGGGCTGGGGCTCGGCCGGCCTCCCCGGCGCTCCAGGCCCCTCCTCGCCCTCGGCCTCGGCGGCCGTTAGCCCTTTCCGGGCCTCGGCCTGCTGGTCCGTGGCGGTGCCTCTCTGCGAAGCCCCTTCTTCCTCCAGCTCCGACTCCGGCTGCCCGGGTTCGGGCGGGGTCGGAGGGCCAGAGCTGACCTTGATCTCGGACGGCCGCGCGGCCAGGCTTTCCCGGTCTCCGCTTTCCCCGCTGGGGTCGTTAGTGTGCTCGGAGCGGCCGTCCATCTCCGCCCGGCTCAGCCAGAGCCACGCAGCCCGGACGCAAGCTGTTAGGTTTCCCGGGGCAACCGAGGGCGCGCGCGCTGGGCCCCGCGATTGGCCAGGCGACAGGCCGACGCCCAGCCTCTTCACCCCGCCTCCCGGCGAGAGCAAGCCAATGGGAGGCCGGGAGCTGGCGACAGGCGAGATTGATTGGAAGCGGCTGTGTGCTCTCGCCGCGAGGGGCGTGGCGCCGCCGCTGGGCTTTCTGCGTGCCAATTTCCCACCGCTGGGCCTGGGGCGGGGCGTCCAAGAGGCTCTAGGAAAGGCGGTGGCGGCCGGCGCGAGGGGCGCGCAGGCGCAGAGCGGCGGGCCGGGCGTCCGCAAGGTGGCGCACGCGGGGCGCCTGCGCGATGCGGCGGGGCGACAGCGGCGGCTGCGGCGGCGGCCGGGCCGGGCCGGACGGCGCCTGCGTGCTGAGGCGGGACGCGGCCCGGCTGGCTGGCTCCGGCGGCGGCTGGGCTGGGGCCGCGGTGGCGGCAGCCGCGGCGGCGGGCGGCGGTTGCTCGTGCGCGGCGGCGGCGGCGGCGGCGGGTCCCGCGGGCGGCGGGGCGCTGACGGCCGGGGGCGCGGCGGCGGCAGCGGCGGCGGGCCGGGCGGCGGGCGGCGAGCGGGGGAAGATGGCGGAACTGGGGAAGAAGTACTGCGTGTACTGCCTGGCCGAGGTGAGCCCGCTGCGCTTCCGCTGCACCGAGTGCCAGGACATCGAGCTGTGCCCCGAGTGCTTCTCGGCCGGCGCCGAGATCGGCCACCACCGCCGCTACCACGGCTACCAGCTGGTGGACGGCGGGCGCTTCACGCTCTGGGGGCCCGAGGCCGAGGGCGGCTGGACCAGCCGCGAGGAGCAGCTGCTGCTGGACGCCATCGAGCAGTTCGGCTTCGGAAACTGGGTGAGCGGCGCGACGGGGGCCGGGCCCCGGCTAGGGCGCAGGAAGGCGGGCGCCTCGCCTGTAATCGGGCGCACAGGCAGCTCCGGCCCTGCTCGCTCGCTCCGCACCCCGGAAGGCCCCGGAGGCGGGGAGGGCGACGCTGCCGCTGTAGAGTCGGGCACCTGTCGGAACCTACGCTCAGAGAGGCTGTGGCGCGCCCAAGGTCACACAGCCGGGACGGGGCCGAGCGGGGCTTTGAACGCGGGCTGCTGACAGCAGAGCCATTTCCCCCGCCTGCAGGGACGCCTTCCCGGGCGTTTGCCGGGTGCAGGCGCTGGGCGAGACGCGGTGTCTTACCTGAGCTCGTGGAGGCAGTCAGGCCCACAGACTCGACAGAAAGCACCAGCAGCACCAGGGAAGAACGGCGGGCACCCCGCGGCTTGTCTCGGGGTCTCTGGTGCGGCCCCATTCGCTTTCTGTCATTGTCTGCATGTGCCCTGCGTGGTCCGCCAATGCACAGATTCTTTGTGGGTAGCGTGCCTGGTTTGTGCGTGGGTCCCCACAACACCCACGACATGGTTCGAGTGGTCAGTAAAGAATGAAGACAGGGGCCTGGGCTCGGGCTTTCGCTCTTTACCTCTGAGGCTCTGTGCGGGGAGCGGTGGGAGCTGGACGGGATCCACTCACGCTGGCCACATCGTGCGCTAGGCTCTGTCCTTGAGAGAGGAACACCGTTGTTCTGTCTGGGCGGTTCCTCAGCTCTCCGTCCACTCTGGAAGCTTGCATCCGTGTTCGAAAGGAGAAAATCTCTAGCTGTATTCCCACTCATAGCCTCCACATGTGGCCATGCCAGGCACCCTGAGAAGGAGGGGAGTGAGACACCCCCGGCGCCCTTAGCTTTCCAGAGCCTTCCCCTGCTCCGCCAGGTGCCTGCTTCTCGGAATAGCCTCCAGCTCCTGCCGCCTCTCCTGCAGTCCTGCCTGGGCTGCTTTCGTTGCCTCTTGCTTTCCTTTCCTGACAGTCTTCAGGGCCGCCTCACATACCCATTCTGAAGCCCTGAAATCTTGGTTCTCCTCCCAGCTCTTTAGAAAAGATGCTCCTTTCCGAATCCTTACCTAATGGCCCCCAGCACCGCGATGGCCATTTTTCAGAAACTTTCCCGCCTTGTCCTTCCGTGCTGTTTGCGGATATGCTCCCACCATGTGTTCTGTGCGGCTCTGCAGAAAGCGAAGGCTTCGCCCTTGCATTCAGGGAGCCTGACGTGAGGTACGGCCTTGGTCCTAGGCCCAGAGCTCTTCCCTAGCAGCAGGCCTCCATGTCCAGCCTGCTCCCTGTGTCCTGTCTGCCCTCGACGTAGTCCTTAGTTCCTTGTTCCACTAGGTTCCTGGTCCAGCTGATCCGCAGTCTCCTCACAATACCTCCAGAACCAACCACTTCCCGCCGTAGTCCCGCCGGTGTTCACTTCTCGCCTTGACCGCTCTCGGAGCCACCTTGCTGGTTATTCCCTGGGTCCCCATTCCACACACCCTACCCAGAGCAAGCGTCGGCTGACACCGGCCTCAGTGGCGTTTACTTGGATTAAACTCTGCAGCCCGCATGGCCTTAGAAGTGCTGAGCAGTGACGTCTCATCTGGTACCTCCCTTGATCGTTTTCTGTTTATTCTACCTGGTGTGCCCTTCCCCCGAATCATGGCCCAGGGACGGTCTTTCCAGTTAAATATCAGTGCCTCAGAGGGCCCTTCCCTTCGCCGTCCCAGTACTTGTCTCTACGTCAGCAGCTAAGGAGGCAGAGAGCCTTGCTGGTCTATCTGTGCGTATGTCTTGACATTTTCCCGGCCGCGGTGCGCAGTTGGCTTTGGACGGACCAGTTTGACTTCAGAACCTGTGCTCTTGACTACACTGGCTGCACTGCCTTCCCTGCGGCACTGTGGAAAATCCACAAAACACAAGACCCCGGCATTGAAAACATTTACATGGTTTTGGAAGAAACCAGGCTGGAAGTGGAGAGGCTCTTTTGGAAAATAATCCTTTCCAAACTAATGTGCACACAGACCGCGTGGGAGCTGGTTCAAATGTAGATTCTGACTCAGCTGTTAGAGAAGACAGAGCCAGGAGAGGAAGGGGATGCCTGGGGCTTGGGCCTGGTGCACAGAGGGCCTGGCTAGGCTTCGGTCAGGGCCTTCTCCACCACACCAGTGTGAGGTCAGGGCGAGGCCTGACAGCCTGCATTGCAGCCAAGGCGCAGGGGGTGCGCTGGCCCGTGACCACCCCCGAGTGGTGAGGCGCCGTATTCTGTCGAGCTGCCACCTCCCCGGCAGAACCTCTGCTTTCCCCCTGGGACTTCACTTTTCTTCCTCTGAGGCTCTTCTGCAGCTCTGAGATGGGTGCTGCTCTTCTGAGCATGCATCCAGCTGTGTGCACAGAGCTGGCGTGTCCCCTTCCATATTTAGCCTCTGCCCGCTCTGGGCTGGGCTCTTCTCATATAGGTCTTGTGCGGTCTTCATAGCAGCCCCAGGGCTGGGTTCCTACTCTTACAGTTGAAGAACAGCAGCTCTAAGAAACTAAGCACCTTGTCCAGGGTTCCGTGGCATGTCATGTGATAGAGCCAGGAATGAATGCAGGCCTGTGTGACTCCAAAGCTTGGGCCCTCACCCATTCTGTGCGAGAGCATTAAGCAATGTGGGTCAGAGGCTGGGAGGCCATTGGTGCCACCGCAGGAGTGGATAGACTGGAAGGACTTGACCTGATTCACTGGAGATTAGTGTGGGGGAGGGCCTGGGTTCATGGGCTGGGACGGTGAGTGTGGAAAGAGATGGTGTGGGGGTTGGGGACAGTGATGTGAAGAAGGATGAGGCCTGTTCAGTTCTACTTTCAGATGGCAAATGGTGACACAGGGGCTGGGGGTTTTACTGCTTCATGTGGGATTCATGGGAGAGGGTGGGTTGTAGCCAAATCTGGCAGCATTGTGGTCACACATTGTACCAAGGCTGGGGCATGGGGCTTGAAGGGAACGGGATATAGCTGAGCAGGGTTAACAGTGACACTTGGGGGCTTGGGGACAACTTGTGTGCTGGCATGTGTGTTTGTTAGCGAGGGCCAGAGAGGATGGGTTAAAGGACCTTGGCAACAATGGGGTAGAGTTGGCAAGTGGTGACCCCGTCAGATCAGCGGGGTTTGGTGTCCCTAGATGGCTGGTTTGTGATGGGTTCCGTGCAGGATTCCAGGAGTTCGAGGCTGCAGGCCCTGCTGGAGCACAGGAGCACAAACACAAGTGACAGCTAAGGGCAAGTCGCAGCTGTGGCAGAGGAGCTGGAGCTGTTTATTGGTTGCCAAAGAAACTGGACTGACACCGAGGAGCTTGAGGAGGTGGTCAGGAGGGCTTTGGCAGAGAAGTGGGGTTCAAATGAGTGTGAGAAGTTCTCTGTGAACCATGGAGGGCTTTGTGAATACACGTCAATGCTCAGCCTCCTTCCTGGAGCCAGATGGGGTGTCCTGAGTAGAGCTACACCCTTCGAGATCATGGTAGATATCCAGGAGGCAGCAGCATGCCAGATACATATACGATCACTGTCTTGTGCATGCATTCATTCTCATCCATTCAGGTAGCACTGCCTCGGGGGTGGGAATAGCCCAGCCCCTGTGGTGAGAATGGGCTGGGAGTAAGATGGCTGGTTTACTTGGTAGGTGCTGTGTGGGCAAGGGGGCCTCAGAATGTCCTGCAGAGGGGACACGAAGTGGCTGTGCAGGTAGAGGAGAGTGTGGAGGAAGGAAGGGTTTTGCATTTTAAGAGTCTGGTGTATTCAGGGCCAGGCAAAAGCCAGCTTGGATGATGGAAGCTCGTGAAAAGCCCTGGGTGCCAGGTACAAAAGTGTGACAGCTTTGAAGCCAGCTCAGGCTCTATGATCATCCAGGATCTGCTCGCCCGTACCAGGCCCTGAGCAGGTGCTGTGACACACCCCTCACTGTCTTCCTGCCCCGTAATCCCTGAGACAGATGTTTCCTGCATTTTTTTTTTTTTTTGAGACCAAATGTCGCTCTGTCGCTAGGCTGGAGTGCGATCTTGGCTCACTGCAACCTCCGCCTCCTGGGTTTAAGTGATTCTCTTGCCTCAGCCTCCCAAGTAGCTGGGACTACAGGCGTGCGCCACCATGCCTAGCTAAT